CTGGGGAGAGAGAGAGAGAGAGAGAGAGAGAGAGAGAGGGAGAGAGAGAGAGAGAGAGAGAGAATGTTCAGGTGTGTTTGCACAGGTGAGGTGAGGTGTGTGGTTTTACAGCGAGTCTTTGATCAAACAGTGAGGAACACAAACACGTTTCCTGTACAGGAGCGTCAGACTAATTGAGGTGAAAATGCTTGTAGGAATTAAACATCTGTCAGTGTTATAATTACACTGATCACAGCTGCTCCTCACTGTCTGAACACGAACCCTGACGCAACTCCAAAACCTGAGCACGGCGCCTCAGACCCCGCTGCGTCTGTACGAGAAACTTTAAACACTGCTCACTGCAGCTCCTGTCCATCTGGAACACCACATACACACACACGTTTGTTTTTCATACAATGTCAGGACGTGGGGTCATAATACTAACAATACATCAGATGAGAATTGTATATATTTAAGTACCTATATATAATATGCCCCATATACGTTATACATGAGTGTTTATACGTAATTATATTAATATGTCCCATATGTATTATATATGTAACTATCTATATGTACACTGTTTAGTACAGGAAATGGTTCTATTTAGAACCAGGTGTTCTATATCTATTTGCATGCTTAAATGGTTCTTTACATGGAGAAATCATTCTTTAGATTGATGTATTTGAGCACATTTCAGCACACAATGGTTCTTTGAGTGTTCATGATTCTACATAGAACCATTTTCTTTACTAAAGAACCATCTTTTTCAGAGTGCAGGTATTCATACATAATATATGGACCCTATTATTATTAGCCTACACTCTTAAAAAGATGGTTCTTCAAGGGTTCTTAAGTAAAGAAAATGATTTTATATAGAACCATGAAAACTCAAAGGACCCTTTGCACGATTAAAGGGTTCTTTGCATTGTGAAAGCGTTCTTCAGATTGATGGAGAAGGTGCTGTAGATGGTTCTATATCAGATCTTTCTGAAAAACAAGCTTCTATTGTTACGAGCTTGAAATGGTAACAACAGCAGAACCCTTTTTGGTGCTGTAGAGAACCTAATCAGAAAGATTCTACATATAACCACCTATGGCACATTCTCCATCAATAAGAAGAACGCTTTAATCATGCAAAGGGTTCTTTGAGTGGTCACGGTTCTATATAGAACCAATTTCTTTACTAAAGAACCCTTGAAGAACCATCTTTTTTAGACATAACAATCACGTTTATCTCTTAAAAGCTTGACTGCATGAAAAAAACAATCCTGATCTATCCTAACAGTGTGACTCCACATAAACAAACTAAATATGATTTGAAATTAATAATATTAATAGTATGAATAGTAATCAATGGTAGAGACAGCTGGATTGGTTTGAAATGAACAGTAAAAGTGTCAAACGTTCTCAAAATGTCTGGCTTTACGTTCTGGATTCAGTAAATCTTGTCCAATCTCACAAGAGTTGTTGTGAAAGGACCCGTGTGTTGTGTTCTCACACTAAACGACAGCATAACGTCGAAACGCTAACGTCACTTCAGTTTATCAGCAATATCAGTATTTATTTACACATCAGCTTTATCGCTGTAATTTACAGCACGTGTTCCGGACCCGGAGGAACACAGCACCTGCAAACTGACCGATCACACCTGAGCACACAACCGGACACAAAGCAGACAAACACTTACGGCCGTTTCTATACACACACACACACACACACACACACACACACACACACACACACACACACACACACACACGTGTTTACAGTTAAAGTCATTTAGAGTCATTTCTGCATTCTCGCTCTGAAAGTGGATAAACTGGTGTAGTTCCCCTCCGGCTGTTCGCTTAATGTCACAGATAAACAGCAGTGACAGTCAAATAGCTCAGAGACGACCACTGCTGTAACTGCAGTCTACAGCATCAAACGCAGAGCAGAGAAGACGCTTAGAAAAGCAGACGTTATCTAGATCACAAGCTCGGCCTTTCAGCTCCTCTTAGCGTTATACACCAACGAACGAGAGCCCGAACAGATGAATACAGGAGAACACGTCTACACGGGGGCCGTCTTTACCACGTGCCCAACGTTCTTTACGGCCGCGTCTACGGACACTAACGTCCTCCATGGCTTTTTATATGAACTCTAATCAAATTCACAACCAATTCTACAGACAGAACAGCTGTTTTTATAGTAGTTTCTATTGATGCCACCTTTTATTCCAGCTGTTTGTACGCAAAATTTACCACCAGTTTTACTGACAGCAGCCTTCTTTACAGCCATTACTATGGATGCTTGGCCATTTCTACGGAAGCCAACCTTCTTTACAGTCATTTCTATGGATGCCAACCTTCTTTACAGCCATTTCTAGGGATTCTAGCCTCCTTTTCTATGGACGCCAACCGTCTTCACGGCCGTTTCTATGGACGCCAACCGTCTTTACGGCCGTTTCTATGGATGCCAACCATCTTTACGGCCATTTCTATGGATGCCAACCTTCTTTACAGCCATTTCTATGGATGCCAACCTTCTTTACAGCCATTTCTAGGGATACCACCCTTCTTTACAGCCGTTTCTTTGGATACCAACCTTCTTTACAGCCGTTTCTTTGGATACCAACCTTCTTTACGGCCGTTTCTATGGATGCCAACCGTCTTTATGGCCGTTTCTATGGAAGCCAATCTTCTTTACAGCCGTTTCTTTGGATACCAACCTTCTTTACAGCCGTTTCTTTGGATACCAACCTTCTTTACGGCCGTTTCTATGGATGCCAACCGTCTTTATGGCCGTTTCTATGGAAGCCAATCTTCTTTACAGCCGTTTCTATGGAAGACAATCTTCTTTACAGCCGTTTCTAAGGATGCCAACTGTCTTTACAGCCATTTCTAAGGATGCCAACCTTCTTTACAGCCGTTTCTATGGATACCAACCTTCTTTACAGCCGTTTCGATGGAAGCCAACCGTCTTCACGGCCGTTTCCATGGATGCCAACCTTCTTTACGGCCGTTTCTAAGGATGCCAACCTTCTTTACGGCCGTTTCTAAGGATGCCAAACTTCTTTACAGCCATTTCTATGGAAACCAAACTTCTTTACAGCCATTTCTAAGGATGCCAAACTTCTTTACAGCCATTTCTATGGAAACCAAACTTCTTTACAGCCATTTCTATGAACACCAACCATTTTCATCGACGTTTCTTCGGACACCAAGTTTGCTTACAGCTGTTTCTGTGGACAGCAACAAAATTTGCAGCCATTTCTATGAACGCCAATCTTCCTTCAGCTGTTTCACTGGACAACAACCTTTTTTTCAGCTGTTACAATGAACCCCAATATTCTTTACAGCTGCTTCAATTGACACCAACTATAAATGGGCACCACTGTCCTTCTTTGGCCAGGCTTTTTTTCTGCCCATGCCTTTACAAACAAGGTGACTGGCTCCTTGTATTGAGAGCTGGGGCTGCCCAAGATAAGATAACGACTGAATGAATGAATTGTAACAGTCGATTCAATGTACTGCATTAGCTGAATGAATGACTATTGACTTAATGAACGACACTAAAAACTGAACAAATGAACTGTTACTGTATTTTAACAGAATGAATCAGAGAAAAATACACGACTGGGGAACTAATCTACTATCTAGATCACAAAGGCAGCATCTGGGCCTTTAGGTTCCTTTTAGCATGAATGAATGAATGAAGCTGCTTTTATGCCACAGCTGAACTGTGTGTGCTCTTTATTCTTTATAGCTCCTCTGGTTCTAAAGCAGAGCTACTAATCCTGAATAAAGGTCTTCCTGTGAGTTCAGTTCTCCGCCAGTCAGGACACGCAGCTCTTTCTCCAAACTGAGTTTATTAGGCTCTATTCGTGTGTGTATGAAGCCGAGCCCTGTGGTCAAACATCCCGACAACATCAATCAAATTCTTCTCTCTTTTAGCCCCACCCACCCTCATCCCTCAGCAAATAAAAACAGGGCGTTTACTCAATCAGTCTGAACGACAGCAGGCAGTGACGAATGGGGTCGCTAAGAAACTCTAACTCTAAATAAACTACGGGGTTTGAATAGTCAGTGGACAAGAATCCAGCAAACACCATCATGAGGGCAGCCAAAACGAGACCCAGAAACAGATTTCTGAAAATCAAAATAATCCACTGTAATCCACCGCAGGCTTCCCACAGTTAAGGGGTGTTGGCTTACCTTTACTGCTTTTAAAAATATCAACAAAAACATTTCATAAAATGCACCAATGTTCAGTAATTCAGGGGTTGGCAGTGTGATGATATTTGGGCCCAATCCCATTTCTTCTTTTTACCCCTACCCCTTGTTTTCCAGTGTCACCCTAACCCCTTGGAACTGAGTTACAGGGTAGTGGTTGAAATCTTCCCTCTGAAATGGGACCCTCAAATAAAAAGAGCATCACTTCATTAACAGCTACCAGCGCTGCTCTGTAGGCGACCCTGCCAGTCTGCAGTGACAGCAGAGGAGGGTAAAGTTCAGCTCCTCACTGCTGGGCTTTAGTTACATTTAGGGCATCATATGATCTTCAAAGAGGGGGGCAATTATTTATTATCACCCACCCCTAATTCTTCAGTGATATGAAGCTGAAGTCAGATATTCTCCAGCTTCTAGGTTTGAATTTTCCCGTTCCACCTTAAATAGTGCAGCAGTTACATTCTGGTGCTTCAGGCATCAGAACTGCTGGACTATTTAAGGTGGAACGGGAAAATTAGCATGCTATTAGCGATTTTTTTATGCTTGTTATGTAGAAAATGACCATAATACACTGAAACGACATTAAACTGAGATAATACAGTGGTTTTTATCATTTTTAACGGAGAAAATTCTCACATTTGTGAGTTTCTTTGGTCTCTTGCGCCGCCATCCTTTCTCATAACTCTCTGTTTGGAGTCTCTGAAAAACCTCCGTTTGGAGGGTCATGTAGCCCAAACACTTCACCCCCCCCCCTCTATATCAACAAAAACTGGGATAGCCTACCCCTAGACGTGAACACGCAAAACA